GGGGTATATGGCTATTAATGGTATTTTAGAGTGAGGACCAAAATTAGCAAGCCAATTTACTGGTCTATTGCCTTCTCTATAGATTTGGGAGTAGAGATTCCTTTGTCACAAACTCAAACTTTTAATGCAGTCAATCCAACATTATAGATACCATGGAGCTGGAGTACTCCCTTCTAGTATAATGATTAAAATTAGAGAGTCAGATTCAACAATTAAGAATTTAAGGCCACACCTTTGAGCCATGAAAATTTCCCAAAAAATTACTTGAGTTTCTGCATCCAAAGGGTCCTCAACCCAGGTAGGAGAATGAAAACAAAATAAACAATCACCTTTGTCATTTATGAAAACTCCTCCAACTTCTGCATTTGGGGCAGAAAAACTGCCATCAGTATTTACTTTTATCCATTCCTTTGGGGGACAAATCCACTTAATAAGTTTATGATGTATTTTCCTAGGATTGATGGTTCTAGAATTACATAGGATATCAGGTAGCTTTCTGTGAACAGAAAATTTTTGTGGATAGCTGTAGCAATTGGTTGCAATGGTAGCAGCTTCCACATTGGCTTCCTCATACTTTAGTTTATTTCTGGCCATCCAGACATAGCAGGCTGTAATACAAGGTATAGGGGGTAAAGATTGAGTCTGCTAATCTTTCCAGCTGAGGGAGGAGTCATTCCAGAATAGCAGAACAGTTTTCAACTTCAGTTTAGCCAATAAAAGGTTCCACACTTACTGAGCAATATTACAATTAAAGAATAAATCCTGAAGAGTTTCCTCCTGAGATTTTCATAAAACACATCTGGATGGGCCTCTCAAGCCTTTTAATTTCAGTATATCATCAGTGGGAATGAAGCCATGAAATAATCTCCAAGAGAAGAATGACATTCAAGAAGAAAGAAATTTGTTCCAAATAGTTTTACTCTAAGGGACCTTGCTGAAGGAAACAAAAGTTGAAGATTGAAGCACACCAGGTATGAGAAACCTTCTTTTTCACAATTAGTTTATCTTTATTAGAATTATCAATAGAGCATTTCATAACTTTATTTAGTAGGCTATTATCCAAGATATTCTGAAGAGCTTGTTGGTTCCAGATACCATCAGTCCATAAATCTGCCATTTGAGTTGATAGATTAAAAGGGGAGGGAGAATTAGGATTGATTATTCATTCACAAGTCCAATTTTCCAACCACAGATTAAGTTTGCCCTCCCCGACTTCCAGAAAAAGAGATTTTCAGCCTTTGTCCTCATTTTCAGCATATTTTTCTTGGTCCTAGAATCACCCAATCTCCTAGTAGCTAGGGAAGGATGCAATTCTTTACAGTATTTGCCATTCATAAATTTAGCTTACATAGAGGTTTGTGCTCTAAACATGATCTAGAGTTTACAAAAATTGATTTTTGTAATCTGTTGGAAGCTTTTAAAACCCAGACCTCCAGCTCTAGTACTGCCACAAATCTTCTGCCATCTAACCCAATGCACTTGTCTTTCTTGACCAACCCAAATGAACCTGTTGAAAGTTCCTTCAAGAGTTGATTGGATAAATTTCTTCATTACCTGAAACCTAAGAAATATAGGATGCAAGAGCAGCCAAGACACTTTTGAGAAGAGTTACTCTACCTCCATTAGAAAGAAATGAATTGGACCGACAATTTAGTTTGTCCTGAGTTTTAAATACAATATCATCAAACAAAACTTATCTAGTTCTCCCTTTTAAGAGCAAGGTGCCCAAGTATTTTAGAGGGAGTGAGCTAGTACCTAGAACAGTCAGGTCAGATATCCAATGCTTAATTGCTGAAAAAAACTCGGCATTTCTGTGTATTGAATTGCATTCCTGAGCATTCTTGAAACTTTTCCAGACAATGAAAAATCAATTTAATAGATGGCTTCATGGCTTTGGCAAAAATAATTACATCATCAACAAAAGATAAGTGAATCACAATAATGTTAGATCGATGACGGTATAATGAGTGAGGTGACTTGGCCATGAGTTGATTAAAAAATCTAGACAAATAGTCAAAAGCAAGGATAAAGATATTTGGAGATAAGGGGTCACCTTCTTTGATGCATCTAGATGAATTGAAAAATCATTGTCACTTGCCATTAATAAAAATAGAATGGTAGGAGATAGATAACCATCTATTAATTAAGGGAATAAAAGGATGAGAAAAACCACTTGTTGTTAATACTTCCTCAATGAAATCCTAATCAATGGTGTCATTAAGCCTTTTTGATATCCAGTTTGAAAATGAGATTCCCCCCTCTGCACTGTTTGTCCAAATCTAGGTCTAATTCTTGAGCCAAGAAAACATTCTCCACTAAACTTCTACCTTTAATAAATGCTGACTGATTATCACAAATGAGGTTAGGTAAGTGAGGTTGGAGTCTATTGGAGATAACTTTACCAATAATCTTAGACAAGACATTACTAAGGCTGATAGGCTTAAAGTGGTCCCAAAAAAGTTTTGAAGTGTTTTTTTTGGAATTAAAGCAATTGTTGAGCATTTAAAGTAGTTGGGTAGATCCATTCCTCTAAAGAAACATTGCACAACTTCCACAATGTCATCCTTGATAATTTTCCAAGACTTGTTGTAAAAATCAGCTGAAAACCCATCAGGACCAGCCACTTTGGAGCTATCAATGGAAGCCAAAGTAGACCAAATTTCCTCTTCCCCAGGTATAGAAGCCAGATCCAACTCCCTGGTGTAATTCTTATCCAAAAAAAAATGGTCCTGCAGATTTGGATGCCTTAAAATAGGAGGTTGAGTAAAATGTGTTTGGAAAAAATTAATAGCACTGGATGCAATTAATTTTTCAGAATGAAGCCAATGTCCAGATGGATTTTTAATCTTGTGAATGGTATTGCATTTTCTCCTATAATTTATACAAACATGAAATTATTTGGAATTTCTATCCCCTTCAAAAAATCAGGTTTTAACTGCCTTTTAAGCATAAAATTCCTCCTGCATACAGATAACATTCATCATTTTTTCATTAGCCACCATTAAATCCTTTTGCATATCAGGGTTAGCTTCTAAGCTAGCGTCCAATTGCTCAACTGTCTTTTCAGCCTCAATAACTTTCAAGTTAATATCTCCCACCACATTCCAATTCCTTTTAGTTAGATGTTTACTCAACTTTTTTTGCAGCAACCAAAATTTAATCAATGGATTTGGGTGATAAAAGTCCTTCCATACCATTGATTTTTGGTTAAGAAAATGCTGATGTGATGACCACGTATTGAGATATCTAAAACTTGACTTTTGTTTGTTGGGAGAGGCTGAAATAGTGATAAGCTGTGGCTTATGATCTGATCCTGTCTCACTAAGTTGATGAACAGAAGTGTGTAAGAACTCATGAAACCATAAGGAGTTAACCAAGATTCTGTCCAATCTTTCCCATAAAGAACCCCTCTTCCATGTAAACCTGGGGTCTGTGAAACCAAGGTCAGATAACCCTTCCATGCAAATAATATCATTGAAACAGTTCATTTGCTTGGTATCAGAAGGGATACCACCTAATTTTTCAGAGGGAGCAGAAATACAGTTGAAATCCCCACCCACCAGCCGTAATGAGTTACAAGAGCTACTGATTGAAATAATGATTGAAATAATGTTGTCCCAAGAAATAATGTTGTCCCAAAGTTATTTTCTGGCACTTGAAGAGCTCCCTGCATAGACAAAAGTGACCAGACCCACCTGACCCCCAAAATTCAACTGAATATGGATAAATTGTGGATGATTTGGCAAGACATTGCATAAGACCTCCTTCCTGTGAAGCACCAAAATTTTATTATTTAAATTTGAGAAATGGAAAAAACCAGGAAACTTTTTTATAATTTTCTGAGAGTTTTTGGAGACCATTGGCTTCAAAATCAGCAAAAACCAAAATTTATACATCCTATTCAAAGCAATTAATCTGTTAAGGCATTTAGAATGTGCCAATCCCCTAACATTCTAGCAAAGTAGGTTCATCATCCAATGGAGATGAATTTACCCCTCCTTCTGGTTTTTAGCATGGCCTCCAATATGAGATTTTTTGTCCCTGATGGAATAGACTCTTTCCCGCACTATTTTTGATTCCTGATTTCCCTTTTTCTTTAATATGGATTTTTGGACTTTCCATTCATCTTTCAATGCATTCTGCAATTCCTCAACTAAGTTAATATCCATAGGATCACTATGGTCCACCTCAATAACTTCTTGCTGAATTGTTTGAAGAGCGGGAGTAACAAGTTCATTGTCAGTTTCAGCACTAGCACTATCTGTAGCCAGTTCATCTTCTGGGTCTTTGAGAGACACCAATGGGGGCAGTTCAGTATCTTTATTGGGAGCCCTAGGATTGTCAAATTTCCTGCGGGGGTGATGAAGTTTAAAAAATTTATTATTTGTGTGCCCAAACATACAACAATGGTAGCAGTAATAGGGCTTTTGTTCAGCAATTATCTTCTGCCAATATCCATTGTGTTCAGTTCCCAACAAGATTTCATCAACTATAGGGAGGGTAATGTCCCTTTCTACTAAACTTCTAGCCACAGAAGGTCTAGATAAGTTAAATGTAGGAACCTCCAATTTAAGAGGTTTTTCCAAAGCTTGTCCAATATTTAATAGGACTTTATGGTTGAAAAAGTGCAGCTTAAGCCATGGAAGTTTAAACCATATAGGTACTATAGGGAGTTCCTTGTTGGGGTCAAAATCAGTGGACCATCTTGGGATATTCATGGTGTTCCCTTCAATCTGCATGACTTACTTGGAGAAAATTCTTGCATAATCATCCTCTCTAGAAAAATTAATTAAAATGTGCCTTCCATCAAGAAGACCAACCTTCCAAGACTTTCGAGCTTGATGCTATCAAAATACTTCCTAATGGCTTCCATTTTAGGATGACCTAATTGGAATTTCTCAGTGAGTGTAAACTTACAAACCTCAGTAAGATTTTGAATATCCTCCTCATTATATAAAATTGCCATTTTTCCACTTTTTATGCTTAACAGTTTGATAATCGGGTCATCTACGTCATGGTAGCTCTGTGGGAAGACCAAATCATCATAATCTTTGATAGTATCAAATATTTTACCCACAATATCAGTAAAAGTAGCCTTAGTCGATTGAATATTTGTAGATAAATCCATATTTTGCTTAGCCAATCAAAACACAACATCAATGGAAAGTGAACTACTTTTTGAAAAGTTAGTCTTCCGGGAAAGCAGAAAAACTAGAAAACTTGCAAGGAACACCAAGAGAAAAGAGAAAGTAGCTAGGGATAAGAGAAAAAAAGAAGCAAAGAAGTGCTGAAAGCCTCCACAAACCGTAGCCAGTCTATGGAAACCCTAGCAGAGCAATCTCCAAACCATCCACCACCTCCATTATATATATATATATATATATATATTCTCAAAAACTCCATGGAATTTAATCTGCTGGATGTCTGGTATTCATCAACTGCTTACAGCTTGCTCTCTAAAGTTTTCTCATATTCACAGAGAAGGAAACAGACCAGCCAACTGGCTAGCTAGGAGGGGACTTTTTACAGAAGTTCCACTAGTTAGTAGAAGAATTCCCCCCCCCACTGGACTTCCTTTTATCCAGTGATCGTTTGCCTATCCCTTATCTTAGGAAGTATGTGTAATAGGTTAGAGAGGTGCTTCCCTTTATAAAGGCCCTCTCCTGTCACCTTCCTTCTCTTTGTAATTGGCTTTTTTTAATGAATTGGAGCTATGCTCCTTACATAAAATATATATATATATATATATATATATATATA